TACTGTAAACATTAATGTAATACGATCTTTTGCTTTCTTTTGTCCTGTTACAGGGCCATGTGCTAATGTTTTAATAGGATTCAAACGATAAAAAAGTGCAGTTTCGTCGCAATTGAAAACATTTTCAATTGGATATAATTGAATAAGTTGTTGTAATTCATTGCGGAAACGTGACAAGTTTTCCAAAGGTGCAGAATTAGTTTCACCTTGACAAATAAATTGGCTTATATTGTGATGTTTTTTGAAGTTTGTAACCCACCCAGGAGAAGCTTTGAAATCATTAATGTTCATCTTGTCCGCAAATTCTTGTGCTTTAACTTTTAATATTTTACCAGTAAGAGCTTGTTCATGATGTATAGCATGTTCAACCCACAAAGCGAGTGCTGATTCAATGGTAGGAAACCCCACAGTCTTACGGCGCTTAGAATTAGCAAGTGATGAATTTTTATCTAAAGCTAACCAAACATCTTTTTCTGCAAGAATATCATGAACAGTATTGGATTTTATTCCAAACTCGATTGCTAATGCCTCCAACGTAATATTAGGATGTTTTTGCGCTTTAATACAAAGAGTTTGTTTTTCAAGGCCAGTTAGCGTCTTTCGGTTTACTTTTTTCTTTACTGTTTTGTTTCTTGAATTGGTTAAAAATGACATAACATTTGAAAAACCACTTGTTGAACTTTCTCCATGATCGTTCATCCTGAAATATTAATAAATAAACGTTATCTGTGAAATATGTGCACCATTATACAATTTTAATGAGATTAAATTACCATATGTAACGACAAGAAAGGTATTGCACTGAATGCCGACAATTTGAAACTGGTGTCTGGCGCATATATCAAAACCTGAAATTATTATATAATTGATATGTGTAAATCCGTAAGAGGCATTTCATTTTTTTCAGATCGATCACGTCCAAGCCAGAGGTAAGGTATGTATTCGTCACTCATACTCCTCACTTTTCGTGCCTGGCTAATTATCAAGCTTTTCGCCATTTTGGAAATTAAACAAGAAACTTTGATCGGTTGTCAAGGTGTGAAACGTTAGTGACTCCTGGTTCAATCTGTTAGGTGCGAATCCATCTATAACTGCCCTTGAGTCGAGAACTTTCACTATAACCAATGTGTTGGCATATTCTTCCATTGAAAATTTTTTGGTATCTTCGGCCGTAATGCGAAATAGGAGGTCAAATTGATAGGTGAGTAATGCTGCTCTGGCTTTATTGAATCTCCTGAAGGTAAAAATTCGTTTCA